TGACAAAACATATGTTACAAAAATGTATCATCTTTTTTTTTCCTGTATTTTGCAGGTGGCTATTTTGCTGTCGTAAATCAGATTACGAAAGGCAAGAAAATTTAAAAATGATGCGACAAAATTCAGCAAGTAATCTTGATCCATACAAGAGACAACCTTTGCCACCAATTAATGGTACCAATAATAATGGTAATCATTCATCAGTTTTACTACGGTCATCTAATTGATCAAATTTTTGTAAAAGAAACACAGAAAAACATAAAAACAAGCTTTACAAAGAGTATCAATAGTAACGAATATAGGAAAGTAGTAAAGGAAAAGAATAGAACGATGACCGAGCAGAAATTTGCTAAGTCAGTGGCTTTTGTTTAACAAAACAAAGACTGTTTATTGACAAATATCAGTGGTTACTACTTCTGTACATTAATGCTGTCAATCTGCGATTTTTGTTTCAGGTGACGGTTATCAGGGTACACATATTGTACCTCAACGTTTACAACCATTACAGCTACAAAATCAACAAAAACAGATGCCGGACTATCAGACAAAATGTTCGGTGATTGAAGACGATATTGCAGACGACGATCTATTTGGGATACAGATTAAAGCAATAAAAGGAATTCCAGTAATACAATTGTGTAAAGAGGAAAAACGGACATTACCAATGCCACCATTCCTTGAAAACAGATAACAGTGTACAGATTGATTGCGGTTTTTAGGGCTTGTTTCAAATTACTACTTTTTTGTGCTTTTTTAAAGTTATAGGGCAAAAAAAAAGAAAGGAACAACTATCGTTTTTCTGCTTCCTTGTTTTGAACTGTGTTTTCCAAATAACTTCTCTATCTACGCAGATTATCTGATGAAAAATCAAACAGATGTTGCCACTCTCTATTTTGAACCATTTTCAAAAAGCTGATCAAGGTAAAAAATAGGTGTGAATTGCAAGATTTTCTTTTGTATTTAAGACAAATGATATCAATTTTGATTGGCACGGTCAAAAGGAAAGTTATTGATCTTGAATTTACTGAGCGGATAAAGAAGGGAAGAAAAACGCAGACCGATGTTTCCTAATTTGATCCGAAAACGTCAGTGCTTGTTTGCATATGCATTTTTCAATTTTCTTTACTTTGTTGTATTCATCTGTATATGTAGACGATTTGCTGTTAGTTTCAGCCTTCTGATTCCTTTTTTTTTATCTTTTTTCGAGTGACAGATTCTGATTAGACACTGTCACACAGAAATTAGTTGCTTTTTAGTCATATTCTTTTATCTTCACTGTGATTTGTGCTATTAAGGTAGCAAAAAAAAAAAAAAAAAAAAAAAAAAAAAAAAA